TTAAAACACATGCTACAGAAGATAAAAGGTTATCGCCTTCAGTATAGACTGTATCCAAACATCACGAAAACAAAAATCCTAACCATTAGGCAACACCAAGATGATTGGAGAAAAGATTGAGGTTGCCAGTGACTTGAATCCACAATCGACCCTTTGGAGCAGCAGTCAAAAAATCAAAAGGCATGTGACATTGGGCAAATTTACTGTCATGTATCTCTTCAAAGTGCTAAAGAGCAAAGATGTCTGTTTAAAGACTAAAATGTGCTTGATCCACACCATGGCGTGGGTTTTTTTTTCTTGATTTTGGGGGTTTTGATTGTTGTTTGTTTGGCTTGATGTTTCAGTTTTTTGGAGAGTGAGTAGAGATGGGAGGGGACGGATTGATACTTTTTTTAAAAACTTATTTATTTATTTTATTTTATTTTATTTTTGTGTGAGTGTACCATCAAATCAGATCTGACTGGTACAGGAGGAGATTGTCCCTCCTTTCCCGGCAGAGCATCTGGTGGATTTGAACTGTGTTCCTCTGGGATTGGAATTGACACCTTTGAGTTGAGGTGTTGGAGAAGAGTACCAAATACACCATGGACTGCCAAAAGAACAAACAAATAGGTTTTGGAGAAAGGCAACCATGGTGCTGTTGAGGCAAGGATGGTGAAGCTTTCCCTCACGTACTTTGGGCATGTTATTAGGAAGGGGCAGTTCTTGGAAAGAACATCATGCTTGAAAAGACGGAGAGTCCGTGAAAGAGAGGAAGACTTTTTTTTTGAGAGGAAGATTTTTAACAAAATGGTTTGATACAGTGACTAACAGTGGGCTCAAGTATTTCAGAGATGATGAGGATAGCAAAGGATATGGCAAGGGTCAGACCAGTTGTTCCTAGGGTTGCTGTGAATAATAGTTGACTTCACAGCACACAGCAATAACAGCAACAATATTTGGAAGAAAGTTTGTGCCTGTAAGAAAACCAGTCTTAACAGCTTAGTAACTGATACTCTGCATTGATTCAAACTATTAAACCAAGACATGTCCCTTGTAAATCTACAGAGATGTTGAGAATTTGTTTTTCTACCCATCACCTTTTTAAAACAACAACACCACAAAGAAAGATTAGACTGATAGTTGGATGTATAATCTTATGAAATTTTTTCAGTTTTCCTCTGCTTTATAGAGCACATTCCAGGACCTAAGAGAGTTCTTGTTTTTCCTGGATTTTAAAGATTACAGAAATTCTGGGTTGGCCTGAGAGGAAAGTGCTTATAATTGCTATAGAGTAGATGCACTTTTTGTCATTGTGGGTGAGTTTCATGGAATAAATAATGCTGCAAGGAGCAAGAATGGGAAAGACAATGTTCCCATTCATGTTACGAATGTGAAGTGAAAGTGAACGCTTTTAGTGGATTTTTTTTTGTGATTTCAATTGGCACCAAGTTTTTTCTTCTTTAATTGACTACCTTGTGAGGTTTGGGATCCCTCTGATTCCAGCTCTCCATTCGCTTTGCCTGTTTTCATGTAACTAATGTAATTTTTTGTTATTGTTGTTCTTAGAGGGACTAAGTATATGTTTATACTCTTTTTCAAGAATAATTCTCCATTAAAAGGAGGAGAAAAGGAGAAGCAGATACTACTCCTTCAAGAAATGTATTGAATGCCTGCACTATCCAGGAATCCAATATGGATTACATCTCAATATCGAGAAAATAAAAATTCTCACCACTGGATCAATAGATATCATCATGATAGATGGAGACAAGATTGAAACTGTCAGCTAATTCTTCTTACTTGGATCCACAGTCAACACACTTGGCACCAGTAGTCAGTAGATCAGAAGATGTATTGCATTGGAAAGTCTTCAGTCAGTGACATCTCCAAATTACTGAGGAAAAACAATTATGTTTGAGGAGTAAGGTTCATCTGATTCAGGCCATCTGAGATTCCAGCACATCTGAGAGCTAAACAGTGAATAAGGATGAAAAAAGAATTGATGCTTTTGAGTTGTGATGTTAGAGAAGAGTACTGAATATCCCATGGATTGCCAACAGAACAGATAGGTGTTCGAGAAAGCACAGCCAGAGTGCTCCTTGGAGGCTAAAATGACAAAACTTTGTTTCATGTGCTTGGGACATGTAACTACTCCTTGGAGAAGGACTTGATGCTTGTAAAGGTGGCAGGATAGCGAAGAACAGGAAAACCCTTAATCAGGTGTAGTCACCCAGTGACTACAGCAATGGGCTCAAGTATGACAGAGATGATGAGGATGGCACAGGGTAAGACAGGGTTCAGATCTGCTGTTAGAGTCATTATGAGTCATACTCAATGACATCTAACAACAACAAGAACAATATTCAGTGCTCTACAAAGAATTGGGATGGGGAGGGAAATCAAACAAAATCTGGAAGCCATCTTTTGTTTGAATGTATAGCACTGTCACACAGAACAACTAACATGGACCAAAGAATGTGTAGTATCCTTTGCCTATAATATAAGCCTGTGGCTTACCCACTTGTTTTGTGGTCCAAGCTGTGTATGTCTGGCTTTTTAAATGTCCTGTGTTTATTCTTTTTTCTTTCAAAGGGCAGTACTTCCCGTGGTCCTTGAGTCTTTTTTTCTAAACACAGATAGAGTCGTGATTGATGCTTCTTTCAGTGTAGTGTGGCGCAGATTGCTATTGTCTGGAATTGGTACTCTTTCAATACCCAGCTCTAACACAGGAATACCCCTGTACTGGATTAGTGCTTCTTTGAGAATCTGGATGAGTATAATATTTCCCCTTTGCCAGAAAGGTCCTTTGTCTCTGGGAAGGAAAAAAGAAAAGGGAGAGGACCAGTAAACTGGCCAGTGTATTTCATTTCAGCCAGGTGCATCAGATTTAGATTGTCCCTGGTTTCCTGAACTAGAATAGAAAAAAAGCTGTTGGCGTTCAAAGCAACCGAAGTATTGATTTTCTCCTCTATTAAAAACAGGTTTTGAACTTGAAGTGGAAGCTTGCAGACCCTAAAGGAAGGATAAAAACCAGTTAAGGACTTGAAGGACCATGAAGGACTAGACTTGATTTTTAAGTTAACCTGTTGCGTTTTAGAAAATTAAATACTACCACAATTCTATTTTAAATTTGAACAGTCTATTTGTGTGCGCTCTTCTCTCTCTCTCTCTCTCTCTCTCTCTCTCTCTCTCTCTCTCTCTCTCTCTCTCTCTGTCACAGCTAGCTGCAGTTTCATAAGAGGTCATAAGGTTGTGTAAGCAGAGTTCTTGAGAATTTTGGAAAAAACGGAGTGTCTAAACATTATTGTTTGCCCAAAAAAAGTCTAAATCTAGAGTTTTATCCATGCATAAAAAAGGAAATGTCACACTTTCTATTTTAAAAACTCACTTTCTACCTTATGGACTTTTACTATCTTATATAATTTGCTTGTTAATGGAATGTATTTTACTGCTATTTTCTGGACAAAATTTGACAGTAAGGATAGATGAAAGGGAGGTGCAGAAAGCAAGAAAATCATACATTCTTCTAAAAGTTCAGTACAGGTATTTTGAGGTTCCATTTAAAAGATTTTGTTTTCAAGATTTATGTACATGGTCTTGATCCATTCAGTCTGTCTGTCTTTAAGAAATCAATTCCTATTTTTTTCTATACTGTTTTATAAAAAGCTATAATGTATGATGTATGATTTACTTCTGAAAGCATCTACTTTTATCATTATGGATTCTCAGTTGTAGGCTATGCTTTCTTGGATGTGTTTGATGTGTGTTCCTCTGTGTAAGGGCCTTTTCAGTTGCTCTCTACTTTTTCCCCTAATAATTTGCAGTTGAGAAGTCATCTGGGTAGAACTTTCCTGTCAGTTCTCTAGCTTACAGGTTTTTTGTTCTACTTGCAAATATTTCTGTTTTATGCTCCATACTTTCTCTCTCACAGCAATTAGTAGTGAACTACAGATTTAATGGTAAAATTCAAAAACTGCACAAAGAAAAAGCCAAGGTGCATTTCTCTTACAAACGTCCAAAAGACAGCGTGGTTCACTGTTGCCACACCTCTGGGATACATTAGGTGAATCTTTGTTAGTTTATAACAAAACTTAATAAAATTGGATTGATTTCTTTTTAAAAGTTGGTATCAGGAGATGTGAGATTAGGCTCATCTCCTGAGACTTGTTATGTACAGGCATACCTTGTTTTACTCTATTCCACTTTATCATGCTTAACAAATTGAAGGTTTGTTGCAATCTTGTGTCGAGCAAGTCTATCAATGCCATTTTTCCAATATTATGTGCCCATTTCGTGTCTCTCTCAGTTTGATAATTCTCACAATATTTTGTAAATTTTTCTTAATTTCTCTCACACTGAATAGAGTGCTAAATAAAAAACCTTCTGCTGTTGAGTTAATTATGACTCAGGAGACCTTGTAGGACAGAATAGAACTGCCTCTAGAGTGTCTAAGACTACATCTTTATAGAAGCAAACCATCAGTCCTTCTCCATTGGAGTAGCTCAAGGATTGGAAGTGCTAACCTTTCAGATTAGCAGCTCAGTGCTTAATCTTTCATGCCACCAGGGTGCTTTTTAATAAACAAAATTATAGTGTGTGAGCTCTGGTGGCTTAGTGGCTGCCAACCCAGAAGCTCTCTGATCAAATCCACCAACTACTCAGAGTGAGACAAATTGGCAGTCTTTCCATGCACTTTACAGCTTCAGGAAACCCTCTAAAGGGTCAGCTTAAGTCGGTTTCAACTCAGTGACATACAACAACAACAACAGAATAGTGTAGGCACAGGGAAACCAAAAATTTTGCTCTGGCTTGCTTTATTGCTTTATTTGATTACTGATAAGAACTTGGCAATATCCCTGAGGATGCCTATACTTGTTTGTAATAGAAAGGAAAGGGAAATTTTTTCTAAACTTGAAAGAATGGACAACTGTTTGGGAATATGAACCAAATATCTGAAAGTACTATTTTATTATTTAGTTGGAATATATTTTAATTGTTCTCTCTCTCTACCATTAAAGATTCCAGTGCTGAATATTCAAATGAAAATTTTTCCTGCACTTTGTACTGTAGCAGGGACCATATTTTCCTGTACAAATTACTTCCGTGTAATCTTCACAGGTGGTGTTGGCAAAAATGGATCAACAATAGCAGTAAGTATATCTTTACTTAATTTTGAATGATTACTTATGCTAAACCTATTTTTGTGGTAGGTTTGGGGTTTTGTTTCTCATTTGAAATGTATAAAATTATTTCATTTAGAGTTTCTCCTTCGTCTTTAAAAAGATTAATATCCAAAATTTCTGTTTTACTTGCTCATGCGTACATTTACACCATTATACACCTACTTGTCACTTACCACCAATCTCAGTGTCCACCGTATTATCTACTCACTTATCAACACCCTCATTATCCATCATATTTTCTGTCTATTTTGTACACTAATGAATTACACCTGGCAGTAGTCAACACCTAGGTACAAGGCTAGGGTAATGACAGCCAAGATGCTTATGGTTGTGCATCACAACATGACTGAGTCATGAATCTGAATGGCTTGGTAGTTAATGTAATAATGAAATTTTACAACTGTATATGATCATCTTCTGTTTTGTGATCTGATGTCATCCTGCATTTTCATTTAATGCCAAGTTTGTCTTTGAAATCTAAGTTATGTTGAGACGTGATGAGTATGTGTATAGTCATATATTTATGCTCACACGTTTATATACACATGTATGTAAATCATATGATCTGCTTTATACAATAAACCAAATTTCTTAAATTAAATCCTCAGTTTGTGCCAAATTAGTTCATGGAGCCGGTTTTCACCAGCTCTTACAGAAATGGGAAAAAAGAAAGAAAGAAATGCCAGCTGTTAGGCACCAGCAGTTCTTCACAGTTTGGATTGAGCTGTTTTGCAGCATATCCCTGAAGTGTCTGATGAATGAATACTACTAACTCTTCTCTTTTTGCTATACAGGGAACAAGTGTCCTTTCTCCTTTTCTCCATATTGGATCAGTGATCACATTAGCGGCAATGATCTATAAGAAATCAGCAGTTCAGCTTTTTGAAAAGCATCCCTGTCTTTATATACTGACATTTGGTTTTGTATCTGCTAAAATCACTAATAAGCTTGTGGTAAGCATTGAAGTTTTGTTTCATTTACCTTTCGTCTGACTTTGGTATTATGATAGTATTTTTTATTAGGTAGCATTCTAGGCAGAGCTAGAGCATGTTCTCCTACAGTCCAGATCTCGTCACATTAGGTTGGGGGCTGTTTCTATTCTTTTATGAAGTGAAAACTTGAAATTACTAGGAGCTCCTTGTGTATCTACACTTTCTGTGCAGTTGAATTTGGTTATTTGCTCTCTTCAGCCTCAGTCTGGACAGTCAACTTAAGTTTTGGGTAAGACACTTCTTTTAAAGTTTTATTTTGCTTTTGGGCCGTAGCTTACACATATAATTTTACATTGTCAGAGGGGTTTTATTTATTTTTTTTTTTTTGGTTGGTTGATTTTGTTTGGAATTCAGAAATTGCTAACTTATTCTTGAAATTTGATATTTGAACACAATTTATTATGTAACTTGAAATTTGTAATAATTATTAATATTTTATTATTATAATAATATAATTTGACATTTTCTCTTTGAGTGCAACTGATTTATTATATAACTTCTTGTTGTTTTGTGCCACTGCGTTAACACCGACTCTATGTACAACAGTTCTGAACCCTGCCCTATTCTGAGACAGTCTCACTGTCTCTGACACACCTACCCCCATTACCCTAGTCACCGAGTCAGTCTTTCTCAGCTAGGGTCATCCTCTTTTGCACTGTCCCTCTACCCTTCTGAGCATGGCGTCCCTCTCCAAGGACTGGGCCCTTCTTGCAACATGCCCAAAGTATGCCAGATGAAGCTTTAAAATCCTTGCCTCCAAAGAGCAGTCTGGTTTCACCCTGTTCAGGACAGACCTGTTTGTTCTCTTGACAGACCATCTTTTCTTCTATCATCTTTAGTCAGTGTTCAGCTCTCTGATGCATAGTAAGCAATTGCAATTGCAAGGACATGGCCTGTATCAGGAGCACCTTAATCTCTAGACTGACATCATTGCTCTTCAGTTCCCTGGAGAGGTCACTGAGAGCAGATTTTCCTAATGCAAATCATCTTTTGATTTCATGGCTGCTGGTACCAAGAGGGTTGATTGTGGAGCCAAGCAAGCTGAAGAGATTAACAATTTCAGTCTCTTCACTGTGATGCAGCCAGTTGGCCCAGTGAGAATCTTTGTTTTCTTGATGTTGAGCTTCAATCCATATTGAAGGCTGCAGTCCTTGACCCTCTGCTGTAAATGCCTCAGATCCTCCTCAGCTTCAGCAAACAAGATTGTGTCATCAGCATAACACAGGTTGTTCATGAGTCTTTCTCCAATTCTGATGCCACATTCCTCCTCCCAGAGCCCTGTCTCCTGGATGATTTGTAGGATCTTAGCTGAGAGCAGAGAGTACTAGAGGAATGTCTGTCTGTGTTTCATTGACTATGCAAAGGCATTTGACTATTTGGAACTCTGAGAAGAATGGGAATCCCAGAACACTTGATTGTACTTATATGAAAACTATACTTGAACCAGGAGGCAGTCATCAGAACAGAGCAAGGAAACATTGCATGGTTCAAAATCAGGAAAGATGTACGTCAGGAATGCATCCTATCCTTCCTTCAATTATATAGCTTACAATTGCTCAAATAAGAAAATACTTATATTGGTTTGTTCTGTTTTACTCATAGGTTGCACATATGACAAAAAGTGAAATGCATTTGCATGACACAGCATTCATAGGTCCAGCACTTTTGTTTCTGGACCAGTATTTTAACAGCTTTATTGATGAATATATTGTACTTTGGATTGCTTTGGTAAGTATTGTATTAATGTCTTACTTCATGATCTGTAGGCTTTTTTTTTTATTTCAGTGCACCACCTGAGAGAGATTTGGAATATCAGTTCTGCTTCATAAATTTCAGTGCATATAAATTAAAATCTTTTTGCTGTGAAAATCAGTAATTGGTACACCCTGTGGGCCACTGGCCTGTTTTTTTGAAGTTAAGTTTTATTGAAACACAGTAACACCCAATTATGTATATGTTACTTGTGACAACTTTCTTGCTACAGTAGTCACAGAGTTGAGCAGTTAGAATATTTACTGTCTGATTCTCAAAGAAAGGTTTTGTTGACCCTTGGTGTAATGGAAAGATCTTTGAGGAAATTGAGTTACTACATAGAATTTAATTGAAGCTTAATATAGAGAGAAGACGGAAGCCATTGTTCTTTTTTTTTTTTAATTAATTTTAATGACAGTTTACAGAGACTTAGGTTTTCTATTCATTCATTGTTATACTTTTCTCCCTGCCCACCACCCCCAGTATACTCTTCTCTTTGAAATGTAAAAGAAAAATTTTTTCATTGTTACAATCCCTCTCTCTGGAGTCTGCTCCACTGCTCCACTGTGGAGCCTTTATTCTGGACTCCTGTCATGACAATAATACCTAGTCACATATCCCTTTTTAACAGTTCTCTCCCTCATCTGTTTCAATGCAGTATACTTTATTTATCCCCTCTTTCTCAGTCTTCCCTCACCCCCAGTGTCAGTCTCATTTTACAACAGTGGTCCCATGCAGTATTTGTCCTTTTGTGACTGAGATATTTCACTCGGCATAATGTCCTCCAGGGTCACCCATTTTGTATAATTTTGTTTTTCAATGCAGCATAGTATTCCATTGCGTGAATATACCACAGCTTCTCTATCCATTCGTTTGTTGATGGGCACCTGGGTTGTTTCCAGCTCTTTGCTATTGTGAACAAAGCCGCAATAAGCGTGTATGCATATATCTGCTTGGGTGGTGGTTATGGTTTCTTTAGGGTCTATTCCCACTAGTGAAATTGCTGGGTCAAATGGTATTTCTATTTGGAGCTTTATGAGAAAGCGCCATACAGCCTTCCATAGTGGTTGCACCATTTTACATTCCCACTAACAGTGAATAAGGGTTCCAGTTTCTCCATAGCCTCGCCAGCATTTGTTGTTTGCTGTCCTGTTAAATTTTGCTATTCTTACTGGGGTGAGATGATATCTCGTAGTTGTTTTGAAGCCATTATTCTTTATGAATCTAATTTTTTTTTGTTTCAAAATCTCTGTAAATGTTCATTAAAACTAATAAAAATAATAATTTAAAAAAAACCCTAGTGAATGGGAATGATTGTATGACATACAATGTGAATGAAGGATAGTGTGACACCCAATGTATGCAATTGAGATTTCATATCCAAACCAAAATAAAATAAAAATTTGTTTAAAAATTTAAAAAAAAATGAATCTAATTTTTTAATGAGACTTTTTTTAAAATCTAAGAATCTAATCGTCTCTTTTTTCCCACAGGTCTTCTCATTCTTTGATTTGATCAGATACTGTGTCAGTGTCTGTAATCAAATTGCATCTCATCTTCACATACATGTTTTCAGAATCAAGGTGTCTACAACTCATTCTAATCATCATTAATGATGTCATTGGTGTTATATAGGAAAGTCGTTTTCTGAAGAAATGAATCTGAACATATTAAGGAAAATGAGATGGATAAGAACAAATATAATTTATAATAATCAATGTTGTATAACTTTTATCCTTTGTTACTGGTAACACTCCTTAACTATCCTTTGTGAGAATGGGAATGTCAGTTCCCATCCTGTAAATTGTACATGTGGTCTTACAGGGTTTGGCCCAAGAAAGCATGCAGGAGGAAAAGTGCCATGTGTTTGTAATCATCCTGAATTCAGAATAAATTGTCATAGGGAACAGATCACCCCAGTGCCGAAGATTTCTAATGTAGAATGTTTGCCGGCCAAAAGCAGATTGCTTTATAATTTTAACAAGTCACCATCTTTTATTGACATCTTTGTTTAATGTCTTCTCAAGCTTTCTTTTACTAAAAGGCTCATCTTGTGGCACAGATATATCCCACTAGCTTGTGAGGTGAAACTAGTGATAAAACATTGAATTTGGAATGGAAGGTTTCCTATCTTTTCATGGTTTGAAGAAGTCATTTTTTTTTTAATTGCTGTAGAAGTAATTCTCTCTCATGGGATTGGGAAATTCTGTTAGCATGCAAATAATGTAACTTTGTTGATCCATTTTATTTTTTTAAATAAATATATTATCTGAAAGCCAGCTTTTCCCCCTCAGTTTTATTCAGTTGAAAGATACTAAATTTTAATGTCTTTTCATGCAGAGTTTATTTCTGTTCTGTAACAAATAAGGAAATTTGATCAGCTGCATTTTCATGATGTATCCTGTGACCATTCTCTTTTGTATAAACTATTTAACTTAAAAAAAGAGAGCTATGTTTATTTTCTTGCTCAATAAGTTTTCTTATAATTATTAGTCATTTAAGACTCTCAGACCATCTCTCTCAAATGTTCACTAATTTCCTGGCTTCACCAGGAGTCACTTTGCACTCTTCTGGCTACTCTGAATTTGTATACTGCAATGTGAGATGGAAAACAGGTGACTCAGTAACTACGAGCTGGGTCAGCCTTCATTGTGTATAGATAGTAGAGTTGCTTAAATGAAGAGATAGCGGAAAAGATCTTTAACTGTTGGTTAAAATTAGTTATCTTACTGGTCTTTATACCTGTCTCTGTAATTACGGAGCGCTGGTCACCTAGTGGTTAAGGAGTTGCACTGTCAACCCAAAGGTAAGCAGTTAAAATCCACCAGCTGCTCCTCCAGAAAAAGATGGGCCATTTTCTCCTGTGTGAGTTACAGCCTCTGGAAACCCACTGGAGGGTCAGCTATAAGTCAGTTCCAATTCAATGACAATAAATAGCAAACATTTCTGTAATAGTAGATAAGCAATGCTTATAAACTGCCTTGCTTAGTAGCCAGAACTCTGCTTATTTGCTAGATTTTGAAATATTTTTTAGTTCCGTTAGATTTAGAAACTACTGCCTTAAACCACCTAAAAAAATGCAGCAACTCTTGGAAGGTGTGAAGAATAGCAGTGTCATTAGGATGGTGTGCTGATAGTGAAACACATGCTGTTGTTGTTGTTGTTGTTATTGTTATATGCCGTCGAGTCACTTGCATTTCATAGTGACTCTGTATACAACAGCCCTAAAACCTGCTCTATCCTGTTTAGCCTTTTTGTCTCTGACACACCTACCCGTATATCCCCAATCACTGAATCAATCCATCTCATCGAGGATCTTCCTCTCCTGCTCTGTCCCTCCACCCTCCCAAGCATGACGTCCCTCTCCATGGACTAGTCCTTCCTTGCAACATGTCCAAAGTATATCAGACAAAGCTTCAGAATCCTTGCCTCCAAGGAGCAGCCTGGTTTCACCCTCTTTAGGATGAACCTGTTTGTTCTCCTAGTAGTCCATGGTATTCAGTGCTCTTCTCCAGCACCACAGCTCAAAGGCATCAAGTCTCCTTCTATCAGCCCTATTTATTTTCCACCTCTCTGAGACATAGCAAGCAATTGCAAAGACCATGGCCTGGTTCAGGTGCACCTTAGTCTCCAGACTAACATTGTTATTCTTCTGTATTCTAGAGAGGTCTCTTGACAGCATACTTTCCCAATGCAATTAGTCTTTCAGTTTCCTTGCTGCTTGTGTCCTGAGTGTGATTGTGGAGCCAAGCAAACTAAAGCTGTTAACAGTCTCAATCTTTTCACCATCTAGCATGATGCTGCCAATTGGCCCAGTGGTGAGAATCTTTGCTTTCTTGATGTTGAGCTTCAATCCACATTGAAGGCTGCAGTCCTTGACCCTCCCTAAAAACTCAATAAAAAAAAAAAATCAAGTTACAGTCATGACTTTACCTTGACTTTAATAACCTTGGATTCCTATCTCATCTTCAAAAAAACTCTTGTGTTTGGATCAAATCCATGAATCTCTAAGGGCCACTATCACACAAGCATGAAAAGGATAACATTTTTGAAAGATACTTCTAAAGAAAGTTTCCTATGCCCTGCAGTGTGCAAGCAGAAGTTGTCAGTAGAATAGAAGATGGAGTAGGTGACCACTACACCCTTTAGGAGCCTTAAGATTGATCTCTTTCTTAAAGGGAAAAATGTTGGTGCAGGGATCCTGCTGTCACCTTTGGCTGTAGAATTAAAGTAGGCTTCTCAAAATCTTGACCAGTTAGAGTTAGGATGTATAAAGTTGGAGGCATGAGACTAATCCAGATCTTTTAATGGACAAACAGACCTATATATGGAAGGTATATACTTCTCTTCACTGGCTTCTGTTGTCTGAAATACCTACCCTGAAGTTTCCCTCCAAGAAGAGCAGTCACATCCCTGTAGCTAAGAATTTGTAGGATTGTGGATAACACAGCTGTTCTTCCCCCCAGTACTATGGCGCTCACCTGTATCCACCGACCCTCCTACTAAAAGATGAGGGGCTCCGGAGCCCTGTAATGCTCTCACTTCAAACAGCCCCAGGAGTCAGGGCCCCCAAAACCAGGCCATCCACTTATAGTTCCGTTTTTTTGTCACATCATCTGTCTTACTCTCCTGTTAATCCTCCCATAGTGGAAGCAAAAGATGCAACACATAAATAACAAGATTTTCATCTTTATTTTCATTCTCCACAGAGCTTTTTCATGTTGAGGGGTAGGGTCTTGAGGCCACAACTGCTTTCTCTGCTTGAGGGTTTTATAGTAGTGGTTTCTGCAAGAGGGCAGTAGCAACAACTTGAAACCAAGCCTCTACAACATCAGTTCTACTGTTCCCCCATTCTGTGTCACCTCTGCAAAAAAAAATGCAGCTTTAAGTCCGGCTCAGGCCCTCCAAAGTCCTGAGTAAATTGATTCCAAGAATCCCAAACTCGGACAGCAGCCTGAACCTAAATCTGGGTGCCAGGACTCAGAAGGAGGCTGTGGACACATGAAGAGCTTCACTGGCCCCGCCATGCTGGCAGGAGCCCAAGTCCAGAACTGGCTTGGTAGTCTAGTCAAGCCTGATGACTATAGTTCTTATTTCACAGTCTTTTCCCTTGACTTCTTCTGTTTCTTCTGTTCCTCATATTCAAGTATTTTCTGTTGGAAATATCCTGTGGGTTCAAATACAGGTTTTAGAATTAACTAATCTCAGAGATGGTGATGAACTCAGACACGAGAGTCCTACCATAAACCAGCCCATACACACTTGCATTCCTGCAAGGATTCCCATGCCCTCTCAGGCGTCCAAATACCCATTTTGTTCCCAAAAAGGGGGGGAGGGTCCCTCAAGCAAAGAATAATTAGCTAGAATTAACTCCAGATTAAACTGAGGAAATGATCCAGCTCAGGTGGCTATGAAATAATACCCACAAAATGTCAGCCCATGGGATATTTTCAAGTTATTACTCCCTTGCAGTTCCACTGGTAAAATGAGATATCCTGTGGGCCTCCTGAAGGAAATATTCCTTCCTTCCACATCATCTTCCACAGGGCTACCCCCGACCTGAAGGAGGGTGTCCTCTCTGGGATTAGAGTGTTTACCTGCAGGAGAATTCTTGCTCTTCTCAGCTTCCTGAATGAAAAGGGAGAAGAGTTGTGTCTTCACAAACTTCTTAACAAATCGGCGGTTAGCCTTGGAGAGCAGAGCCTTACAGAAGGACCGTTCTTGGAAGTGGCCGGGCCCATTTCCCTCCCTTTTGATATAGGAAGTATAGTGGCCCACAGTCTTGACAAAGAACTGCACAAAAGGGCTTGAAACATGTTCATTGATTTGTTCTAAAGCTGTAGGGGATGCAGAGAGACTTATGTCAGAAGAAGAATGGAATTAGTCAAGCTCTCACCTCCAATTGTGACTTTCATTGTAGACAGCTCCTAGGGAAATTGTTTGGCTGGGGTTGACCATTAATGACTCGCTGAAATGGGGAACAACAAACCCCACTGCCATGAAGTTGATTCTAACTAATAGTGACTCCATATTTCCAAGGCTTAAATCTTTCTAGAAGGAGACTACCTACCTTTCTCCTGGAAAGCAGCTGTTGGATTTGAACCGCAGAACTTTTGGTCAGCTGCTCAATATGTTATGCACGACGGCTACATTACTTAGGAAGAGTACAATATCATCTTCTGGCTTCCCCTAGGATCTAGTACTCTGGGGCTAACCCAAGACTGTTGGCAAGTTGATTTTAGTTCTGGAAGGGAATTTGTGGCACTTAGACCCAGGAACTCCATGGAGAAAACGAAAATCGGAGGGGTCTTGGACTTACTCAGGGAGTGCGGAGGGCATAATCTATAGGGAATTGGCTGACAACTCAAAGGCTATGCCTTTTTGGTGTTTCAAATCTACCAGTACTGCCTTGGGAAGGGGGAAAAAATAGCCAGTCTTCTCTTGTGTGATTTATAGCCTCAGAAAGGCAATGGGAGGTCAGCTATCAGTCAATTCTAATTCAAGTGCTATAAGAAAGAAAGAAACTCTCATTGCGTACCCCTATGATAAAAATAATGCCCTAAAATATAATACTTTTAGACTATTCTCTCCCCCATAGACTTCAATGCCGGTTGCAGAGTGGATTATATTTGGGGGTAGGGGGTGGGGTTTGGGGAGGTGCGGGGGGATTGTGTACCAATGAGGGAGTTTTGCTTTTCAAGGAGAGGAGCAAAAGGGAGGGGGGAGGGGTTTGTGCGGGGAGAAGGGTGCAACAATGAATGAATGGAAT